ATCCCCGGTACCAAAAAAAAAAAAAAAAAGTCTGATCAGACCCTTTGCAAAGGCTGTACTGAAAGGAAAAAGTGCTGACTAAAAATATGAGGCAGGCATTGTTGCTTTCTTTAGACTCTTCACTTGGCATAGATGTGGTTGGTTTAATACCAGGTTGAGGTGAGCCCTATGTGTGGTGTGAGTATCCTGAAGCTTCTGGTTCTGCTCTACCCACACAAATGTGGGAACTGATTTTGTCCCATAAATATATATACAAATCATAGTTCAGAAAACACAAAGGATAGGAACGTAACTCAGTGGTTCAGCACAGAACTTAGTGTGCCCTTGGGCTCTGGGTTCAACTCCCAGTACCACAAAAAGAAAGAAAGAATTTGCAATGCAGGCTGGGGATGTAGCTCAGTGGTGCTGAGCCTGCCAGACAGGTGCAAGGTCTGAGTTTGAGTACCATAAACAAAAAAACAAGAATTTGCAAAGCAAATTCTAAGTGTTCACGTTAATAAACTATAAATATAAGCGTCAAAAAAAAAAAAGATTAATTCCTGTATATTTTAAAAGTTTGATCATGACTTTTAGATCTGTGTTAACTGCATGCCTGAAAGAAAACCCAATATTTATTTTTCAATTCATATTAATGTTAAGAAAATTACCTAACTGGGAAGTGTTCTAACTCAACTCTTATTTTCAATCACTGATCCTACCTCCTCCTTGACTTCTTCTTCCTCAGTCTCAGTGGATATAGACGGTACCTTGGGCTTGTGCCATGATATTTGTAGCCGACGGTCTTTGAATTTTGACCCCTGGTTTGCAGCCTAAAATATATTTTAAAAGAACACATAAGTTTGCAGTCATATTTAATAGTGACTTCTTCAAATTCTGGACTGGGGGTGGTTCTCTTAATAAGGTGGATCCACAACCTAAAAATAACAAAATCTCTTTTAATTAGAGCAACTATATGTTCCAATCTGCCTAGGTTTATATACAGTCCATAGTTTATATATGTTGGGAAATTTCAGCATTTGTCTTGATTGGATTAATTATATAGTCACTACTATAGAAGTCATGAGAACAGATATTCTCTTACTTTAATTGTTAACCTTTGACTTTCACATTTACATATTCAGAATCAAACCTTATATGTCATATTCTTAAAAAAAAAAAAGTGTATCATCTCATTTCATTCCATCTCCCACAGCCCTATTTATGTTTAATGAAGCTCCTCCTACTTCCTTTCCTACAATCCTATTCAAGACAAGCACTCTCCAGTTCATCTCTGCATTCACCAAATGTAAGACATTCTAACTAACTCAAGGTCATACTGTTCAAATTATTACAGTACCTTCTAAATTTTTTCTCTCCAGCAAACATCAATTTAAAAAGACAAAAGTTTAAAGATAAAATAAAAGACAACAGATGAAGGATCTCAATTTTCATAAAAAATGTTTAGGGTTGGGGATTTAGCTCAGTGGTTCCACTGCCTGCCTCGAAAGCACAAGGCCCCAAGTTTGATCTCTGGTACCAAAAAAAAGGTAAATGTTTAGTCTTCCTTACAGTTTTTCTATCAAAGATGATGGATTCAGAACTGGGTATAATTTTGAAAAACGTAACAAGAGGTTTTTCGTTTGTTTGTTTGTTTTTTTGTGGTACCAGGAATTGAACTTTGGACCTTGCACTTGTGAAGCAGGTGCAGTGCCACTGAGCTAATAAGTCCCCAGGCAGGAGTTCTTTTTAATTTGGAGTTTCACCCTAGTTGGCCTAGAAAAATCACTGACAAGAAGCATTTGCCAAATATTTCCAAAGAACACTTAGAGTGCATCATGTAGACTCATAACAAGTCAATTACTGCCTGTGTAAATAGTATCATGTGACCTAAAGGAAAAACTCCTATCACTTCTTGTGAAGGTTGAAAGCTTAAAATCTAATACAAACATTCTTATTTGTGGGATATTCCAAAATGACGCATCAAAATGGTCTCATCCAAAGATACACACTTACCACCTTTAGGTAATGTGTCAAAAGGCACTTTTGCCCTTATTTCTATCCTTTCAATGCACAACTCAACTAGGCTGTATTGCTTGTTTAGTTCAATGCTGTGTTATTTGAATTTTTAAATAAAAATATCCTAAATTTTTAAGGTATGTAAAGATTTTAAAACATAGCTATTCTGTTCTCCAGAAGGAATTTTAAGGCATTATGTGGATTTAAAACATAATGCTGAAAGAAGAACCAGAAATTTAACTTGACCTGCTCTGCATCCTACCAGGCTAGTTCATTTCTTCTCAGGCAGCCTGGTCCCCTGCGCCCAGGTCACCACAGTGATGCCGAACTCAGTGTGCACACCCAGTCAGCACCATGCACTGCAGCCCCGAACAACTGCACTCAAGAGATCTCCCCTCAGCTTCCTGCACAGGTGGGACTACAAGTGTGCACACCACATCCAGATAGAAATCTAACTTGCATGCTGTCTGGAACTAAGAAGGAATAACTCTCATCATCTAACTTGTAAGAAATCAAAAAAGATTAGCCAACTAGAATAAAGATAAATTCTAATGATACTAAGGTCAGGATCTCTCACGTGTCACTGGTGAGAATGTGCTTTCAAACCAGTGAGAATTTAAAACTCATATAGTTCACTTAGCAATTCCACATATATCCAGCAAAATTGTGTGTACATGTGTAGTAATGACAACCTTAAAAATGTTCATAGCAACACTATGAAAGTTAAGGGAAGTTCTGGGGATTTAGCTCAGTGGCACCATGACTGCCTCACAAGCACAAAGTTCTGAGTTTGGTCTCCTGTACTGGGGTGGGGGGATGCACAAAGCCCATTAATTGTTATCTTCAATAAACCCTTTTATAAAAAGTTAATGAAAGTAACTCAAATACCTAATAGGTAAAAGTGTAATATATTTATACAATCTCTAATAACAATCCAATATATGAGGGATAATTAAAAATTAAAGTATTTAAATAAAAACTATCACGAGAGTAAAAAACCTTTCACACGTCACCTTTTACACATTCCCACCAGCTTGAACCATCAGTTGACTGTCCCATCAGGTGGCTTGCACCCTTGGTGGTACACACATGTCTGTCCCATTAGGCAGCTTATACTACCTAATGAGACTGTTTGTGCTGCCCAATGGGACAGTCAGTACCACTGATTGTTCAGAGCCACCCCAGGCAGTGCGACATACAAATTACAGCCCTGTAAAGAACGTATTACTCCTCCTCAAAATCCTCCCCCTTTCTTTCAACACATTTATTCCACAGTTCTTAGCAATACAACTTTTACTGTTAGAAGTTTTTTTATTCATTTAAACATTCACTACAGTTTTTTATTAAGAACCATA